CCACTTATTTGTCACGCAAAACCCGGATGTGTGATAATATTAAAAATGAAATGAGATTAGTGGCTGTAAACCGAACAATTTGACCCAACAGGTAATGTGTCTTACTTGTATTGTGGAAGTCCTCAGTTCGATCCTCGGCCTGTACACCGAACATCCTCAGTAAGACTTATTCCTCTGTCCCCTTCCAGGCAAATTCGGGGATACCACCTCAAATTATAGCAAGAGAGCTTCTTTCCACGTCACTTTCATTGGTTATCATTCAAGTGTTCAGTGTTGCAAAGTCTGTGTTACTGACAGCTTAACAAAATAAACCATAAATATTAAGGGACTAAACTAAATTAAACTAAACTGGCCCAGGATGAGGATTTATGGCGAAATGCTGTGAAGACAGTTATGAACCTTGACATAATGAGAGGATTTCTTGGCCAGCTGGAAGACTATCAGCTTTATAACCAAGATTGTACCGCATGAGTTCCACGTGACGATTCCGCCGTAGAGTCCCGGCGCACCGTGTGTCGTGAGCCTCGGTGAGCCTCATAATGTTTATAAATGGGGCGAAAATAAAATAATGAATTTCAGTTCCTTTAACCAGGTCGGCGGCACGCGGTAGCGTATTTCGCTGAAGCACTAAGCTACAAGCCGGAACATTAGTGCTTTTTATGTTGGTACTATGCATAGAATGTACTATCTCTCTAGTTATTACTTCTATTCTGATAGTACTGTGGTGCTAGGCCTCATACGTCAATAGTCTTTTTAATATTTTAATATTTTGTCTTAGCTGTCGCAATAGAGTTTTGCTGTGCTTGGCGTGTATACCCTATCTTGGTGCTGGTACGTATGTCCGGAGATAAGGATTATTCTATCGTTTGGGTCCAACTCAGTAGGTTTTACATGAAGACACAGCCAAAATCCAGCCTCCGGAACTTTATGTTTTAAATGAAACACAGGACAATGAATGGTGTCCAGAAACACAATAATACCAACGTCACAAAGTTTTAGACCTTATTTCGCATTTACCTTTCCTTCCCTCCTTTCCAATTCCATTCATTCGCCGAGCTCTCTTCCGCCTTCCTTCATCTTCTTAACGGCAAAACATTTCCGCTACATACAGCTTAAACCTTGCCACTGTAGAGGAACAACAGTGAAAACTATCGGCCATGTTACGTACTACTTTCTCATTTTCAAGTTTTTTTCTGATGTCCGCACTGTTTACACGTATAAGGACAATCAAATAAACACACTTTCACGTATTAAGTAAACAAGTAACTAACTAACTAAATATCTGACTCCATGAAGCAGGTTTCTTCTTGAGAGGCCAATAGTTGCTCAGAAACTGAATAAATTCGCAACATTTTATGGAACCAGAAGTTTCATTAGCGTTATCGTAAGAGTGCTCCACTGGGCCTTATCCTAAGCCAGATGAATCCAGTCCACAACATCCTATCCTATTTCTTCAAAGCCCATAATAATAGTATCTACCCATCTACGATTGAGTTTCCCAAAAGGCTTCTCTTCTTCAGATATCCCTATCAAAACTTCGTATGCACTGTTATTCGCCCACATTCATGTTACATACCATACCACTCTCTCCATTCTTCATGTGATAATTCTAATATTTGCGAGAGTACAAATTACTATAAATTCTGCCCCAGCATTCTATTATTTCATCTTCAGATATTTTCCTTACCACTCCGTGCTCAAACACCCTCAGTCTGTGTTCTTCTACGAATATTCACGTAACAGACCGTGTTTCAAACCCAATAGATTCAAACTAGCTTTCACAGTGAAAACAAAAGTATACTTGGCGTAGCTCAGTCGGTAGAGCGACGGGCTGGAGAGCCGGGTTTCGCTTCCCAAAAGAGGAAAGCATTTTCTCTTCTCCACAGGGTCCAGATCGGCTCTGGGGTCCATCCAGCATCCTGTTCAGTGCGTACTGGGGGTATAACGGTCTGGGTTGTGAAGTTGACCACTCACTTCCAACTAGTGGTGAGTTCAAAAACGGTGTAGCTATACATTCACTCCCCCATATATCTTCACGGAACTCCGTGGCTTGAGTCTGCAAACGAACTATACCGACAGAGCGATCGCCGCTTGTCGGCGAAGTTAGTACCAACTTTAGCCGATAGAGGGTGTCGCTGGTCAGCGCAACGAATCCCCACGGCCGTTAATTACGGTTTTCTAGACCGGATATCTTCACGGAATGATGCTTAACTGATTAAGCTCAGGGATATATTTATCTTTTTATGTGAAGAAATGTGCACATGTTAACATATGAGAAGTTGAGGCCGTTTGACTAATAACGCCATCTGTTAGACACTTCAGAATAACTATTTCCTCTGTGTGCGCAAATAAACATGTCACCTAATATCATACTGTTGTTTATAAGATTGTAATGCATGACAAACTACTGAATATTCTGCATATTCCTTCTTTTATAAGTACAGGCTTTTGTAATATGAATAATAGATGTTGTACGCATATTACAATTTCCTGGGCCTTCAGCAGCAAGAATTAGACGGACATTTGGAATATCAGAACGTGTAATGTTATATAAACAAATTAATTAATTTAATTGCTTAAGGCTTTCAAGATACGAGCTCCATTACACACCCACAGCGAGTCACATCTGCCCATTGCATATATGTAGGCAACTCCGGAGACAGAACGCGATTTGGTAGCGGGTTTCGAGCTTTCTACGTAGTATTTAAACGCCAGTTTTCTGCAGATATTGTATTGAGTTTACTTACACGTTTATACCATTGTTAATAGTATTTAATTTAATCTCAATTTCTTAATGAGACCGACTACTACAGGTACGAATTACTACCAGGACACTCGTTCTTGTTAATTACGTAATGCTTCGTTGTTCTGTATTTTTCTTTGGCGCTACAGCCCCAATTTGGGCCTTGGGCTACCTCCATGAAAATCTCCGTTTCACTTCGGTTTACTAGACCTTAGACATTCGGTAGGATCCCTTGGGCGGGTGATCAGCTCATCGCAAGGCCTCTACCTGTACACAAAAACAGAAAAACGCACGCACACACACACACACACANCTGAGAAGGTAATCGAATTAATAATTACATATCACGCAATAATTTACCGACGAAAATAAATTCAAGAACATTGCGTAATTTGCAACAGTGACCCGGTGTGTGTCCGCCCAGTTCGTGCCATTGCCATTAGCAAATAAACTAACAATAATCCCACCTGACACTTTGGCTATAATATCTGTGAAAGTCTTATCGGTCTCTGCCTCCGGCGGAGGGCAAACCAATTTCAACATCTCCTGTGAATCAACGGTCTTCCTGTTGTCACGTGATAGAATGTGACTATAGGCGGGGGTTGGATTGCTGAATGGATGTATTGAACTCTGAAACAACTCATGACTATTGATATGTTGGGTTTTTGGACTTTATCCATCGTCCTGGTTTTTAAGAAAACCGTCCGTCCGTCCGTCCGTCCAGGACGGAAACAGATCCAGTTTCCGAAACGTCGTGTTTTTATTTTGTTTTCTTAAAAACCAGGACGATGAATAAAGTCCAAAAACCCAACATATCAATGTGTTATACACCATCGTCAGAATCCTATAGTAACAACTCATGACTACACTTTCTAATTCACTATCACACACAGACTAGTGTTCTCCTTTGTGGTCTTCACTGCATTGCTTGGTAACGGCTTCCAACAATGTAGCGTCTTCGGCTTCTGTATTCAACGGCTCCTGTCCTCGCTTGCTGGCACCTCTCAGCTGAAGCTCCCGAGCTGAAGTAACTGGCTCCCAAATGCTAAACTCACTCACAGAGTCAGATTGGCGGTTTATCGCCAATTATTTCGTCCTGACGACAGGCCGCCTGAGTCCCACGATCAGCTTTATTTCAACCGAATACTTGCGGTCATAGCCCTATATTCACGGATTCTCTTCTTTTTTCTTCTACCCTGAAGATGGAGGCGATACGTTTCTTCGAAACGTCGGTTACCACAATATCTACACGGCGCCACACACCAGAGGACCGCTTTCTTCATAGTCACCGCTGTGAAAACCTCAGATCTTACAATAATGATCACTGCTTTTTATCGGAATTGTTCATGGTAAAGCAGGTGGTATGCCGGTCACGGTAGCCGAGCGGTCTAAGGCATGCACTGTCTTCGCTCGCTCGGAAACCGGGATCGTGGGTTCGAATCCCACTCAGGGCATGGATGTTTGTGTGCGTTTTTCTGTGTTTGTCTACAGGTAGAGGCCTTGCGACGAACTGATCACTCGCCCAAGGAGTCCTACCGTATGTGTAAGATCTAGAAAACCGAAGTGAACGGAGAAGTTCATGGAGGTAGGCCTAGGCCCATTGGAGCTGTAGTGCCAAGGGGAAAAAAAATCAGGTGGTATAAGTCACCATTGTGTCTTAACTATTTGAGATGGGATGGAATATGACAAGCCTGTTGTGACTGGCAGGCTATCTTCCATCTGTTTCGGAATGTTTGCAATTATTTTCGAAAAAAGCCCGACGTTTTGGACAGCATACCGCCTCCACGGTAGCAGGGAAGTTTAGCAGCTTGTCGGCTGTTTCCGCTGGTTTCTTGCTTGGCTTTCTCTCTACTTCGTACTGTCGAATGATGAGATGGTCGGTGAATAATGAATTGGAAAAATGTGCAAGGAAGCGGCGTTGACCTACTTACAAGTTATGTTACGGCTTTTGCCTGGTCGGTCTGAGAGAAAAAAAGAAAAAAAAAACTCCAGTCGGTATAGTCAATGTATTTTTTTTTTTGCACTGGAATTAAACAATTTGTATCCAATTTGACTTACCAAATCCAGCAGCTACTTGAAACTGTTGTGCGAACATAATTATATGCGCTTGTATCACTTTTGTTTTCAGAACTTCAGGTGAGTCGTCTCGGACTGCCGCGAAACACGAAGCGCATGCCATGACGTCACAGCAGTACCTGCCCCTCTATTGGTGGAACGTGGCTGGGGAGACCCCTGCATGACTAGGCCACCCGTCGAACAGACCACTTCAGTCTGAGCCGCGACAGTTTGAGACACGTACCCTTCTGCCCGCCATTCGCACACGTCAAAAACACAAAACACAATTTCCACCCCACCCCTCTTTTATTTCACCCAAGCAGAACAAGGAGAAGTCCCATTTCCCCCTCAGAAATATTCTGCCTCTCCCCGGAACCAACTCCTTGTTTTAGCAAATAACCACTTTACAGTCATTTACCCTATTTTTTTAATTGCATTCATTTACCTGTGCAGTGAAACCCACTTTGGTAACGGTGGATCCCAAACGCGTTACGAGACGGTTTCCCTTCTCCTCCTCTTCACCACGCCCTTCACTTCCCACACCCTTGCCCAATCACTACCATCACCACCACCATCACCGGCATTACCACCACCGTTACAACCCATAAGACACGTATATTGTAGTGCCCACGGTGAACCAGCAAGTGAAGAGTTGAATAAAAGTGACTGAACAACGACGACCTCTGCAGATCGGTCACAGCTCTTCGTATTGGTGTATGGTGAAGTTTTGTGCAGCTTCCGTCAACGAAAATAATACAAATATTATTACTACAACTGTGAAAACAAAAGCTGATTGTGCTGTGTTTTAAAACAACGAATATATATATAGATTTTGATTTCTCTGTTCTTAACGAAAAAACAAACAAGCACTCTTGTTGCCACCGTGTGATTATTACGTCGTGACATCATCAGGAACCAACCTTGTCTTTGTACCTCCCTCTCTTCCGGTCCGGTGCCTCTCTATCCACGTATTGTGTGGCCTGACGTCACTACCGATACCAGTAGTGGCGGCACTTCCTTCCACCTCATTCAGTTGCTCTTGTGTCGTGTTGAGTGCGAGTGGGCAAGTGTATCTGGTCGGTACTGCTCGCGATTATATATTGTAATATCAAGAAATTCGCTGCCGAGCGATTCTGAACAAGGGAAGGAGTGCTACGCTGTCAGTGTTTCACGTGTGTACGGGCGGGCATTGTGAATCCGCCTGGCTGCTTGCGTACTGCTGCCGGCTTTAACGAAGCCCTGCACGCGAGTAACATTTAATGACACTGAATATCAACTTCTTAAGACACAAGACATATTTGCAGTGACATAGTTGTATGTTCATTTGCTTTTAAAGTAGCTTTTTGAGAGAAACTGTTCCGTTCCTGCTTACATATCACAAAAAGGGCCCGTGTCAGTGCGTAAGGCGTTTTTAACCCCCGGAGCTGTTCTATATTTTTGCACAAAAAAAAAAAAAACCTCCCTTCTTCCGTGTTGTGATTTTTTAAAGTGGAGACAAGAAAGGAAAAGTGCTGAGTTCGATATCCCATCAGAACAGAAATAACATTTACATTCAGAAATCGTGGAGGCCTACTACAGCACGACGAAAAGAATTCGCGAGCATCCGATAGGAGGAGGCAACCTGTCGCCGCCACTACCGCCGCCGCTGCCGCCTTCTGCTGCCCCATCACCTGCCTTCAAGCGCCAGCGCCGGGACTCAGCGTCGCCCCCAACCGTCCTCCCACAACAGAACTGCTCCTTGTCACCAGATTCCAGGATGAGCATCAGTACAACAGGCATGGAGGCCCCCAACGCACTTAGCCAGAGCATGGACTCCGTGAACACCGTCACAGGAGAGGAAGAGGTACGTTACATGCCCCATTTGACTGCTTTGCGCTTCTTAGTTGGTTAAGTTTGTGTTTCGTCAACTTTGCCACTACAACACTCTAAACTAGTATTTTTCGTAGTTACAGACTTATTGTACGAGTGTTTCAGTGCCTTTTCTCGCTTACAGGCGTTCTCTTGCGAACAGTAACATTCAGTAACGCTCCTTGCCCCATATTACTCGTGACATCGGTAGGCTCTTGTGTTATCAGTCAGATAAATGTCATTCGTGTCAGGTGGCTGGAGTTTATTATGAAGAAAGTCTTCAGGAAATGATGTGATTGAGACGAAAAACATTGTTCCATTTCCCGAACTTTCCACGAAGCTAAAGGCAGCTTGGCATGTACTGTCTTCGCTCGCTTGGAAACCGGGATCGTGGGTTCGAATCCCACTCAGGGCATGGATGTTTAGTTTTTGTGTGTGCGTTTTTCTGTGTTTGTGTACAGGTAGAGGCCTTGCGACGAGCTGATCACCCGCCCAAGGAGTCCTACCGAATGTGTAAGATCTAGAAAAACCGAAGTGAACGGAGAAGTTCATGGAGGTAGGCCTAGGCCCACTGGGGCTGTAGTGCCAAGGGATAAAAAAGGCAACTTACCGTAAGATACAGTTAGTTTGCATTGTAATTACAGAATATTATGATTTCGATTTTCGGACTTCACCGCGGTACGTCACAACAGGAAAACCACTGCTTTGCCTCTTTGTGTCCTTAAGGCCATGGTCGTGAGCAAGGAAGATACGTAGTTTACCGATCCTGGCCATATCGCGTGTTAAACTACTTAAAGCCTGAAATTAATCCACATAAGCTTTGAAAATTCAATTCCTAACCGTGCTTCATTGTATACCCATAACAGAGACCAACCGATTAGTGGTGTACAGCGAAATATTCACTGTTTCTCCTGAGAATCATGCGAAATGCATTAATAGACTGTGTGGGCAAAATGCAGAATCATTTAATATTAACGAGTTGGAAATGTAATCCGGCTTACTGTGCACTCACACGTTAGATACGGAGGGCGAACATAATATAATCTGTAGCCTGTAGTGAAGTCTTATTAGCCCTGTATAACGTTGACAGAAATTAGTTAATAATTTCTGTGAATTAATCTACCGTTGTTAGCTTAAACAGCTTCAAGAGTTTCTTGACATTACTAAAACAATTGCATAGTGAGGCCGCGTGGTAACTTGTTCACTTTGTTCCCTGCTTTTAACGTCTCTTCAAAACACATAAATATTAAAATTTCCATTCGCCGTACTTCTGAAAGCCGATCGCAGTAGCCGCGCGGTCTAATGCATGAACTGTCTTCTCCCGTTCAAACGCTGGGATCGTGGGTTCGAATCTCACTCAAGGCATGGATGTTTGTATACGTTTATTTTGTGTTTATGTTGTTCTGTGTGTAGATAGCGGTCTTGCGACGGGCTTATCCCCCGTCCACGGTGTCCTACCGACTATATATAGTATTAAGAAACTGAAGTGAAACAAAGCGTTTCACGGATGCCTTATACTCCAAAGAGAGAGCATCAGGAAAGAGCGAGAGATACTTCTGAAATACGAAGTTTTTGAAGCTTTTCTAGGTAGATGTATTTCGGCTCTGATATCAGTCGGTCACACGGCTATTTTTGTAAATTTAAATCCCGAAGAATTAAAGCAAGATACATAAAACACTTTATGGTTAGTAGAGATGAGATACTTTTGGCCAATTAAACGCTGCATTAGACTAGGCCACATCGAGGAAGCAGATATTAGGAAACTGAAAATATTTTCAGCATAAATAAAATAGATGACCGCAGACAAAACTGGATAAACAGTTAAGATAGAATGACTGATAGGAAATGCGAGAAGAGATTATACAGTACAGACCAAAGTCTCTCCGAGAAAAGGGGGAAGATATTGAAAAACATGACGTGGCAAGTCGGGAACAGGCGTCATTGCATGTGTCGAGTGAAGAGGTCGGAGGAGGATTAACTGATGCGGTCCGTCGTTCAAAGTGATAAATTCGTCAGAATTCTCACATGGCTTAGGTCAAGCAGCCTAATGTTCTTATTATAGTAATATGTCATGTCAAATGTTTCACCTTCTGAGCCTGAAAACCTCAAATATAGAGTTCATACCTCACAAAATAAGGGCTGCTGCCCTACTTCCCTATTAGGGTAAAGTTAATAAAATTGTTTCTGTGCTTATCTAACGTCATAAAGACGTATGGGGGAGTGGATGTATAGGTCCACTTATGCTTGGCCTCGGCACTAGTTGGAGGAGAGTGGTAAGCGTCACTCTCCTGCCACTTTAACCTCAGGGAAAGATCCCCCGGTACCCATTGTATAGGAGGTTTGATGGACCCCAGAGCCGGTCTGGACGACGTGCAGAAGAGAAACTTCTTGACACTACGGGGACTCGAACTCCGTCCCGTCGGTCGTCCAGCCCATAGCTTTTCGCTGTACAGACTGCGCTATCCAAGCTCCCCCTTACGTCCCTATCACAAAGTTGAGTTCGTAGTTTTGCAAATGGAAATTATGGCTTTTTGTTCTGAGAATCACGCGAAAAAATGCGTATCGTGGTCTAAATGTAGAGCCTTTAATGTTAAAGCAGGTTACACGTAAGAGTTACCAATGTTCATATTGATGAAGTTATATTTCAATTCTTGAACAAAATTATGTCGGTTGCCCATCACAGTGACCGCGCGGTCTGAGGCATGAACCGTCTTTGCCCGCTGTTCTGTTTGCAGGTAGCGTCCTTGCGACGAGCTGATCCCCCGTCAAAGGAGTCCTACCGAATATATATAGATGAAGAAACTGAAAAATCGGCCAATGTCTACAAGGCCTGTAGAGTCATAGGTAGATTGAATTGTTTCGGCTGCTTGTAATGTCCAAATGAGAGGTTTCTGTCGGAGCCAGTTTAACCTGGTTACACCTCACAGACGTATATAGATTGCTGTGGTAAGATTGAAGAGACTTAGCGCAGGAGCGTGTCGCTAATTGCCACAGCAGTGCACGACGCTGCTAGGTTATCGATTGGAAATACAATTCGGTTTAAGGGACATCAATTACGCGACATTGTATATACTGCTATTAAAGTCATTAGAGCCGTGACGTGATCTGGCATTCTGATAACGCGCTGATTCCCACTAGAGTGGGACTTAGTCCACTGTTTCATGTAGACCTGTAGGCCCCCCACTTGAGGAACTTCGACATGTGTACGTGCGGCCTTCAGGGCAGGTGAGACTTCTCTGTACGACATTTTATTTCGGTTTAATATGAGGCAGGCTTGTTTACGGCCTTGTGGTTTGTAATGGACATGTGGTTCGGAGAGACCCCGATGTTTCGGAGGAACAGGGTCGGATACTTAACTAAGCAACAGAGAAGCAAGAACCAAACTCAAAGGGTGGAGGTATTTTTCTCCGAAACGTCGGACTCTCTCCGGACTGCACAGCCTTACAACTCTTCATAATCACTGCAGTGAGAACTCGAATTTTGGAAATTGAAAGTAACTGCAGGCATAGTAAATAGAAGGAATCGGCCCATGTGGCATGCTTAACCAATCCAGCCGGCCAACTCAGTTTGGACATTTCTCCTATCTGGATCCCCCCCACGTAACCCACAGAGATCTGTATGACGTGACAGATTCTTCATGGGTTTCCATAAGGTTTCAGTCTCGAGGGTTCAGGTTCTACTCCACAGATGTCGCTAGTGGTAGATGCGACATGTATTCACAATTTCCCTCCTCCCCCCCCATTTCTTTGCATTGGTGCCAATGCACTTGGCTATGTTGGCTAGGTTTCTAGCACAAATTTCTACCTCCTTTTCCATCCCAGTTCTACGCATGTGCGTGCTGTATCTTAATTTTTATTGCATATTTTCTTCTTATTTCCCGTCGAATTAGCCTGGTCTCAGATGAATAAATAACTGTGTAAATGTGAAGGGGTTGTCCAATGATTGAGATTAGCTCTTTCTAAGGGCGTAACTGAATAATTGTCTTCCCCCCCTCATCACCTGGGAACGGAAGTAGATCAAGTTTCCGAAACGTCGTGTTTTCTATTTTCTAGAATACCGGACGATCCTGGGAACGGAAGTAGATCAAGTTTCCGAAACGTTGTGTTTTCTATTTTCTAGAATACCGGACGATGGAGAAAGTAAAGAAATTCAGTATTTCTGAACAAATTTTATTTATAGTTATACCCTTATGTTGTGTCGGGAACTTGCAGATGGATTCGAAAAGAGGTCCTAACAGTTCACTAGAAGAAACATATGGACATTCTGAGCCCAGTTAAGTAAAAAAAAATTTTGAATATACGTAATTTTAATATCGTGGAAAGACATCACTTTCACGCCTGAAGTAACATTATTTCCTTACTAATAATACGATCATTTAAGTTTTGCTAAGAAAAATAATGCTTATAGTAATAGCCACTTAGCTAGACTAGAGCAGAAAAGTACATCTGCGAATGGCTGTGTTTTGAACGAAGATTTCATTCTGTAGAACACAGCGTGCTGCTGGAGTTTCTGTACTGACCCGGACAAATGAGCTAATTGGATTGTGGTTTTAGGGGTTTGTAGATTAATTTGTTCTGATACTTGATTAATGATGGTTCTAATCGGATCTGAGTCGTTAATACTGCGTTTTGTCTCTGGTAGTCAGCATAAACAAGGTGTGTTGCTTTATCGAATATTCCACCCTAAAATTTACACGTTTTCAAGTACACATCGGAATAGCGTAATCAGTATAGCGACTGGCTTACTGGCTGGACGACCGAGTGGCCGGAGTTCTAGTCCCGGTACGGTAAAAAATTTGTTCTTCTCCATGTTGTGCTGACCAGTTCTGCCGCCCACCCAGCCTCCTATCCAGTGGGTACCGGGAGCTTTTCCCCAGGGATAAAGCGGCCGGGGCGTGAAGCTGACCACTCACTTCCAACTAATGCCGAGGTCACGAAAATATGGATCTGTACATCCATTCCCCCATACGTCTTCATGGCGTAGTGCTTAAATAGTTA